CAGAGAGTTAGTCAGAATGTGTAGGACCCTGACATTAGCATTTATAATTTTAGAAGAAAAATGGAACATATCATTCTCAGACAAAGATAATAATTTACTTAAATGTGACTGTAGTATTTGGCCTTAGAGACAGTTCACCCTTAACAAATTCTACTTTTCATAAACAAGCATTTTGCATGTTTATACTCTAATGCTGCTAATTTGTAATATTTAGATACAATAAAATAAATAAAAAGGAGATGAAGAGTCAACTTTTTCATGAAGAGTGCATTTTTCTGATATATATTATTCTAACATTTAGATGTACTTAAATCAATAGGTTGGTTTGAGTATTAACCTGGCATGAACTCCTTTCACCTCATTTGAGTAAAAAAAAAAAAGAAGAGGCTAAGATAGGACGGTTTTGGACAAATTATTTTCACCTTCCAGTTGGAATGGAATGTTTGTATGGAATCATACAAACTTGCTCTGAGGTCAGAGAGCTGAAAGCACCACATCCTAGAACATCTCCTCTCTTAGTTATGAGCAGTGTTTGAATCATAGCCCAGATCTGGTTTAAAGAGTCTGCTTCAGTCTGATTTCTATTTGGGTCAGTTCAAAACCTACTTCTGCAGTAGAAAGTAAAAAAATTCTCTGGACTTCATCTAGAGGAGACAGAGTCTTTAATGCCTGAAGCACATCTCCTCTAACTGAGACATATCCATTAATTCTGGGTGCTTCAGACGGTTAGACAACATTCAAACCAGCCCAGCAGTTGTGGATGGTTGCACACAGCAGGACCTGTCTCCTCCAGCTGAAACCACGTTTTGTGGAGGGAGAAGAAGACAAAAGGGATAGTATCCCTAAGCCTTGGCTTGTCTGGAGTTTTGCAAAGGGACGTGGGCATTGGCTTCAGGTCCCACAGCTTAGACATAGTCTCAGAATCCAGACCCAGATAGTTACAGATGATGTTAAATTGCAATCCCAAGTATTATCAGTACCCCTAGCCATCAGAACTGCAGGTGGCAAGTGACTGCTGTGGTGCTCAGAGCCACAGACTTCGTTCAGAACAAAGTTTTTGTTACATGCATTTCAGCACCTATTTTTGATATGGTTCCCCATGAAGGAGTATGTAATCAGGTTTCTTTTAAAGTTGGTCTCATTCCAGTTCAGCTCTACTAAGTTAATGTAGCTTATCCCAAACATTGTGAAAAAGGAAAGCAATGTCAGCACATGATGAGTTCTAGACTAGGACTAAGAGGACCTATGTTTTCTTCAAGGATATTTAACTGCTTTGCTGGGTGACTTTCGAAAAGTAATTTAATTCCTGAGTACCTCAATTTACTCATCTGAAAGTGACACTGACCTCTAGACAAACTATACATTGGCTGCTAAGAATCAGGCAGGGGAAGAGCTTGGAGAGTTACAAGGGAAAACATAATAAAGTCCTAATATTCTTTAGGGATAGCATACTAAAAAGCTCTGCCTCAACAATATGTAGAAGATGGCTCATGAGCTCAATGATCCAACATAGAGTTAAATGAAGACATAAAGCAGAGAAAGGAGATTTAAGCAGTAAACTACTGCTCTATTAATTTAGCTACCAATAGGGAGAGGCAGTGTTTTAGGTTATGTCCCATTCATCATCGGTTAGTGTCTGTGTGCCTTCTAATAGAGCAGTAACAGCAGTGCAAGTAATATTTGACAGGTATTTGTTCTCTCTTCCGCCCCCCCTTCCCTGGGGAGGGATGTGTATGCTGCAGGCTGCCTTGTTCCAGTAGGATTTTGTTTTAAATACACTGCCCTTGTAAGAGAAGGCAATGAAGCACTTTTGAAAATAAAGGTGATGAAATTTGCGGTAGTTCATTCCACAGTCTTAGATCAGCCTCCCAGAAAATTCAGTGACCTGAATGTAAACAGTTCTACAAAGGTGTGTAGAGTTATTAATCTCATTTCTGGGGCCCTCAAAGAGGGAGGATAAACAGATTGGGAGAGAAAAATGCGCCTCCTTACGCAACTTCATCAGGACTTAGTTATTGCCTTCTATTTCCCCATTATCAAGACTGAACGCACAGAAAGTGGAATGCTAATAACACAAGCATTTTTCACTCTCATCACTAGTGTGATTTCATTATCTCCCCTTACAAATATACTAGTCTCCTTGCAAAAAAGCAGATTTTTGCACAATACAAAGAAAGAGAATTCTGCTTACTTCTCTGAGCGACATGTAGAGGAGGAGACTTAACAAGGCAGAATCTGTAGCAAGACAGTAATTGATTCTCCTGAATATCCATTAACAGATACCGAGTTTAAAGGGCACTTACTAAATGCTAACCATGTTTGCCTCAGTTGCAGGTATACTCTGAAGTCTGTCTGGAATCCAATATCGTAAACAGTGAGGTCAGATCCAGGTATTCCTTTAAGATGATCATACTCCCAGTAACAATGCCAGATGCCTTTTAAAATACAATCAATATAAAATGACTGTTTCTGAAGAATGCAAAGACAAGTTTTTTAAACAAATCTTTTAGAAGCCAAGTGTTTTGTCCTCAACATGTCAGGTAAGTAAAAACCAAAAATGCATTACATTGAGATAATAAATAAATTGAGACTAGTCAATTATAACATCACATATATATAGAAAAGAAATATCAGTACAAGTGAGTACAGACTATGCATACTGTGGGTAGATAATTCAGGTTACTACATCTGGTGCTAAGTATCATCACAGCTGGATTTTTACTGAATTTCGCTGCCATTTAAGCCCTTCTCACTTAACTGTGTCTAAAACTAGGCATTAATTCTCCCAATTGTACCATTTTTTAATTGATGTAATTACTGATTTTCCTTGGCCAAACTTAAGCAATAAGGAAAAATAGCCTCAGAGGCTAGAAGATTACACCTACCATAACCTATAATTCCAATCACACCAAAGATGAAAATCCAGAAGAGAACCCCAGCTGTGAACCTCAGTAACACAAGGAAGAGCAGACTGACAATCATTGCAATGAACAGCCCACTAGAAAGACAAGAAACAGAAACACAGGGAAAACAAGTGTGAGAATTTTCACTTTCTTGCATGCCTGTTACTCCAAATGAGGGTCACTTCATCTCACGTAAGAGAATGGTTTGTAAAAATGTACTTCAAAATCTTCCTTACGAAATACATCCTCATGGCTATTATCTGCTATTAGAAACAAATAGCTTGTATATGATGATCTCACAAGGCAGAGCCAGAAATGTTTGTATACACTAGGTTCTCAGGTTGGCTGAATGGGACTAGTACAATGCTTTTTTGGTCATTTATACCAGCTGAACAACGCACTGCCTTTTTCAGGCCATGGTCTAGTTTACAGGAAGTTAAAGTGGAGGAATACTTATGTGTGGGGAGGTTGCTGTTTTATGTCCTCCATTAAAAATCCCTACTTGCAAAGAAACAATGTTAGTAAAGTAACATTCTAGGAGCTTTCCTAGGAAAAAAGAATACATTTAGGAGGAAAACCAGTGACTCTTTCTACCCATCAGAAGAGGAAATGATCAGGGCATTATGATGCATAAAAAAAAACTGTTAAGAGCTATCAATGGGGCCCCTAGGAAAGATATCTACAGTGTGTCTTCTCTTTATCAAGTCTGTGGTAAGGAAATAATTGTTTTCATTTCACTCCCAGAAAGCAAGTCAGAAAGGAAAAAATTACTGCAAAAGGCCTTTTTACCCAGCGAGGCCTTCTAAAGCAATGTGAATAAAGCAATGTGAATAAAGCAATGTGAATAACAATCCCACCCAACAAACATCCAGCTCAGATGCTTCACAGAACATTTCATTTCTCAGAATTTTTAGTAGGTGTTACATCAGAATTTTGTATTAGTACAGACTCAAAAAAAATTTAAAATCTCTTCTTGTCTGTGTTTAGTAACTTCTCTTCTGAACGTTCCCAGCTTATTTAGCCAGTTACCAAAGATAAAAAATGGGTCAGCCTGATCATAAACAATCAAAACCAGATGTTTTGGGCAAACTAAGCCAGATGGGCAGAGGGACAAAAAAAAGAACATCAGCTTATTTAGTTAAACCTTTGTAAGCTGGTCTTAAGTCGTAGCCCTTTAAACGCTTCCCAGCATGATGTATTTTCCCCTTCTGAATGGCTTGTTTGAAATTCAGAATGTATTCCTCAAAAAAAGTTGGTTTTGGAGCTTATGACTCTGTTCTTGAAAGCAGTAAGTTAAAGACGACCTTTATCTAAAGTTAGATATACACGAGTCCTAGTAACACCAAAGTACGTGGTAACAACTGCCCTCAATAGACTGGTTCCCTTAAGCTGAGGCTTGAAAGCAGCAGTTCTTTTTGGATATGCTAAAAAGACTAGAGCAATTCCATATTTAATTTTTAATCTAGCTGCCTTTCACTTTCAGGTCTTCATTGTCATCACCCAAACTCTGGCACTTAAATATGTTTGTTCAGAAATCGTTTGATGCATGCGATCATTTGGTGAAAAGTGTGAAGAAAATTCTATCCAATACTTTGAAAGTAGCAACAATTCCTTATAAAAATATAATATTTGAAATGTGGAAACTGGCTTCAGTATTTAGAATTTCTGTTCAAAAAATGGTCAATTCTCTCTGCAGCCTATCTCTTCAGTGATATCTCCTTTGAAAGAATCTGCACCATAAGCCTGATTTCAATAAGATCTAGAGAGAACCACGCTTGCTGAATACCAGTGAGTTTTTTGCCACTGACTATTGTGAGCACAGTATCAGACTATGAGAAAGCTGTCCTTCCGCCAGTGACTGAACACCTTTAAAAGCTAACAACTTATGTTTCTGAACTGACTAATTCTCCATATTAAGTTTATTATCTAAAGTTTATGCATTTATTGCTGTGGATTTGCATTCAGGCTTGAATAATGTATGCTTAATATGTGCTTCTTATAGGGTCTCAGCTGGCAAAGACTTCTGCTCCTGTTTAAATTGATCAACACCCTGGTCCATCAAAAAAACAGTATTAATGGGCTAAGAATGCACATATACTTACATATTTGCTTCAGCAAAACAGCTACTTCTTTTGTTTCAGTGCTGCATTTTTACTAATTGGTGATTAGTGAGTATTAATTGCAAGATGAAGTTAATACCACTCAGTACTTTTTGTTCTTGATGTTATTTTGCCTGCTGCATTGGATTTACGGATTTATATTGGATTTATGGATTATAATGGATTTAACTATATATTGCTAGTACGAATTTAGAAATTACGTGTTTTTTACATATATACTAATAACACTTAGCAACTGCAAATGGTTTGAAAGTCTCTTAATTAAGATTTTTCAGTTTTGGAATTACCACGCTGATGCGTCCTGCAACAGAAGACAACACCTCCCGTTCTTCTGCCTGGTAGGATATTAAAAAGCTACTCCAGATCAACTGACACTCTATGTATGTATGCTGTGCTATCCTTACCTCATATACAGAACCATAACAACATTATTGTCATGTGATGAAAGGAAATTGCAGTTGCTCCTTGAGTTTAAAAGTAGGATTGGTAACAAACACCTACATGATCTATTTTTTAATTCCCTGCACGCTTCAAAGTGAGTTTGGAAAAATTAAAAATACCCATGAAAATCTTACATTAAAATCCAATACCAAGAAATGGCATAGTCTTCAAAAATTTTCATTCCAACTGATCTTGCATCCAGGACATTATTGATGCCGCTGAGAAAAGACAAACCAAAGAAAAGGTTGCTTTAGAAAAGCAGAATTTATTTAAACAACAAATAGGCTCAGTGGAAGAATCTGAAATATCTTTGCTAGTGACAAGAGTGTATTACTATCCTCCAGCTCCAGTTTTGTAACCAAGCCAACATCAACCACAGTTACACCAAAGAAAAAACCTATGTTAAAATGTCTATACAGCTCCTGAAAAAGCTTTATTGAAAAAGCTTTATTAAAAAAGCTTTATGAGTACTAACTATCACCAGATGTAATTGCTTATTATGTCACAAGAAAAGTGTATACTGTTAAGATCTGCATTGTACCAAGAGCCAAACAGTTGTGACTTCAGAACTGCTAATAGCAGAGGAGCAGAAAACAGCTCAGTCAAGCAAAAGGTTGACTTTATGGAACTGTTTTCCTACCCTGCAAAGTGCTTGCCCATATTAATGTTTTCCTAAGAAGAAATGAAGGATCTTCATATCAAAGAACAGACAATGTAGTTGTAGATGCCAGAAGAAGGGAACTTAATAAGATGCAGGTGTTACCAGTGTTGGTAAGGTGCTAGAATGTGGTAGCCTTGGATCGAAAGGTAAGAGAGGGGACCCCTGTGCACCAGACAGGCTGAGGACTGACAGCAGCTAGAAAAGTGAGGCTATTGCAGCAGTTTTCTCTCATCCTGGTTGATGCCCAGGATTGGAGATGCTTGCTGTCCATCTGCAAGGGAGGTGTTGTCATGCATCAGAGCCCAGCACACCGCTTTTTGACCTTTAGACATGTACTAAAAACAGGAGCACTCCGACAAGATGAGCTGCCCAAAGTACTAGGACAGTCCATGTTAGTGGAAAGGCCATCATAGGAAGGAATAGCCGAGGACATTACTGGCTGGCCTGAGTCCTGCAGCACGAGGATTTCATTTTGAACCTCCTCTAGCTTTCTTTAATGCTAATTTTTGCTAGGAAAAACAACAAGAATGATTTAAAAACTGACAGTCGCTCTGAGACAATCAGACTAAAACTTTTGGCTCCTTGCTCGTTTCTGCATACCACAGTGCTGGTTTCCTTCCTGGGAACTTTGCAAGTGCCCAGGCACAGATAGACCATTTACTAGCAAGTCTTTCCTGGGTACCCTCAGCCATTTGCTACAACAGATTCTGATTATTTTTTCAATTCCTAAATTATTTCACAATCTCAGAATCCTACAAATGAGCACTTAAGAAGGCTAAAACCTACTTTGCAGCTTCCCTGAGATCAGTTACATTTCTTGTTTGCCCTCGTCCATCTTTAAACGTCGTCTGATTTGCCACAGTTAGCACACCATTCTTCGTGGAGAAGTCTGGGAAGCATCTCTTAAGAACTATTCAAAATATGAAAACAAAGCATGCATATTACATTTCACATCAAGCTCCGCTTTTATCGCTTTTGTCTTTATTGCTTGATATTTAAATCATTTCAGATTCACAGTCAATTGTTTTTCAACTGACAATCTAACGATATGTTAGATATGACTTTGACAAATCTTGGAAAAGCCATTATATTCAAGATTATGATTATTATGCTCTGGGGCTTTTTGTCCAAGCTCAGGCATGGTGGGATCATAGCTTTCAACTGGAGATTCTAGATGCTACTGAATAACAACAGTATCTGCAGCAGTTTAAGTATTTGTAATAAATGCGGAGCTTACTCTCTGTCAGTATCTGGGCAGCTCACGAAAAACTGCAGCTTCTCAAATATGTCATTTCATGGTAATAATCAAACCAGCCCGCAGAGACAGACTCAACATGACTGGTCATGAATGGTGCTAACACCCAAACCAATACATAACAGCAAGTGTCAGTTCCTCATATGGCAGATGAGCTGCAGTACCAGCCACTATCTTGGATATTCTTGGAGAGGAAGCAATGGAAAAAAGACAGAAACTATTGGTTAGACAGAGGGAGGAGGAGATTATAAAAGAGAGAGAAAAGGAGAGATGTTTACATACTCATTTATGTTGCTCTGCTCTTTGCTGCAAGAAGTCCTGGTTTTCATTCCAAAGGGAAGAGCAGGTCAGTCCTCCTACACAGCTGTACTTTAACTTTATATAACATTTCTGTGCTTTCCTTATCAGGTTCCAACAAATACCGATGCCAGGGTTCAATATTCAGTCCAGAATATCTACCCCGCCAATTATTCTGAGGAAATAATTAAGTAACATGTCTCTCTTCCTCCCTCTGTAATCTTTGTCCCTTGTTGTAGTCTAAAAGAAGATAATAGCTTCTTTGCAAATTATTTTCTGTCTTTTGGGTCAGTACATCAGTTTTCATACAAATTCTTAATTTTTTTTTTTAATTTAATCCACATTTTATCTTTTTGATAACCTGTCCCTGGTTTACATGATGTCTATTTTAAAGCATGGAAAAATAGACAGCAATTTTTTATTTGCATGAGCTTCTGGGTCAGTGACAGATACTCTTGGTATTACACTTCTGCAGCTGAGATGAGCTCTGAGACCTGTGGTTATCTACTCAGAAATACCTGCTGACCATAGTGACAAAAACATTTTTTGGCCCCTTAATTCCTCTGTATGCCCTGCATAGCCAGCACTGCAACTGAAAAGCGAGCTGCATTGTAACTGGGCTCAAGTATCATCTTAACTTCAACAGCTGGCCATGTGATCCTTCCTACATTCGTGGCATTTTCTTGATGCCAATGGGATTCCTTGCTCACATGTTTTGGAAGGCACAGTTTGAGCTGTAAAGCTTTTGTTATCAGTGATGATTCAAGAGCAAGAAAGAGCTCAGCTTGACCCAGTCACACACTGAATGTTCACGGATGGCAGTTAAAAAAATAATAATAAATCTTTATACTTTCAAACTATTTAAAACTGAATGGATATCACTGTCAGATAACAGACAGCTCCTAATGACGTTGCCACGAAACACTTTTCAGACTGGAGTTGTGCTTTAATGTGAACGCTTGTAATCTGCTAAGATGTGTGTAAGAAGTAGAACCACTCACAAGGCCTGCTTGGAACGATCATCGAAGGACAATCTTCATCACGTAGGACTTGAGCAACAGACTAAAAAGGGGAAAAATAGGAATGCTGAATACATAGCAGAATAACTACGTGGTTTTTGTTTCTCACCCAGTCTGAGAAAATGCCCCAAACTGGGCTTTGTAGCCTCCTCCCCGAACTTGACTGGTGGAGCTGCAAGATATGATGTAAGTGAGAATCCAAACTGTCATTGTGATTTGGGAAAAGACTATTCTTCTCTCCTGTTCTAGTGACAAAAAAGAAAAGACCTGTTCACATTGGATCAGCATCTAAGCCAGAAGTGACTGGGCAATTGTTCCTTGCCTCCCTTCGCCTTTTCTCTTAAAGAAGAGTAAGAATTTAACACAATTAATATAGCTGAATTGCAAGGTGTTTTAAAGATGGGAGAAATAATGCAGTAAATTTGAGTGCAAAATCAGTTACATGAAGGATGGATTAATTTTCCTAGCTAAATTACTAAGTAGCTATAGATGACTCAGGAGCCTTAAGAACTGGTTTGAGATACTCTGCTCTACTGCTGTGGAGTACCTAAGTACTAAAGGATACTGCTTGCCACAGTACTGCAACTACATGGGTAGCTGCAGACTTTCTTTTAAGCAAACAGTAATCATTTAAAGAGTGGAGGATTTGGTATGCATACAAGACCTTCACCCCTGATTAAATCACTGTCAAACCATATATATGGGACAACTCCTTATATGGTGAAATCAGAATAATTCAAAGCTTTGATGTAGCTCAATAAAATCATGCATATTTCATATTGCTTGAAGAAAAAATGTATTCCATCACCTACTGATACATACACACCTTGCGAGGATTGTTAAAACCAGGTTTGCAGAACTGCCTGAAGTAATTCCACTGATCTGGTTTATATCTGTAGGAAGCCTGAACATCAATGTAGGTTGCAAACCTGTCTGGGCACTTTGAGACACAAAGCTGCAAGAAAGAAACAAAAATGAGTAAAAATACACTGGAGGTAGAGAAGGGTAAGGGAAGTCAGTGTAATTAAAAAGCAAGAAAAAGGCCACCTATAAAAGCGCACTGTTTTATGGAATTGCCTTCAGTAATGTTTACTGCAGTATTTAGAAAGGGACATACGTTTTCCTTTTGATTCCCTAGATGAATACTTCTAAAATTCATGGATAGAATACACTTTCAAATTCTCTCCTCATATCTGGCGTATCAAGCCACTCTCTGTATCTTCTTAGGTTCTGCACATTCTGGTAGATATGCAGAGCTCTCAGTCTCTTGAAAAAAGTATATTTTCTTTTTTGAACACCAGGAAAAATTCTGTCGGGTCCTCCTGTACTTCCATCAGCAACAGTGTATATGAGCAAGGTGGTGCAGTAGCTACTTCCACAGGATACAAGTAATTTCTTTCTATTACATTTATAAGGAGAACTTTATTAAAAAAAAAGTCTCATGCAGCTGAAATTGTTCCACCCTTCTACACAGTCTCTTCAGACAAATACATCTCCACGGATATCGTTCAAGTCAAGTTAGGTGTAAATCACTCAAAGGTGACTTTTTACTACTGACTAATGATGAATTTCCCTTAGTTACAAAGCAAGAGGGGTGCACACGCCAGGAATGAAATTCACACCACTCAAGGTACAGTCATTATAAACCAGATTTATGTGAGAAATCAAGTGAGGACTGGGGTTTGATGAATGCATCCACTCAGAAGTTATGATTTAGATTTACGTAATGGAGAAGCAGCCACCCCAATACACAGACTCTGAAGGCTCTGCTGGTCACTGGAATCATGCAAGTGTACAGCCGTTCTGACTCCTCAGTGTTCCCAAATACTGTGACGTACTTTGAAGTCCATCTTTTTAGCAAGTTTCAGCCTTTTCTAGAAGGCTGTTCTCTGTTTCCAAAGCTGTGCTATCCGAACACCCTTTGCAAAGCTCTGCTATCCAAGTACCAGAGAGACATCATGCACAAAACTGTATTTCACCTCAAGGGCATTCCGCCACATATGATTCACCTAACGGAATTTTGGGAAAAGATCTTGTACTAATCCTTAGAACAGGGCAGACGCTGCAAGAGGGTCTTTCTAGATGAGTACTACAGTCCTATGGACTACTACCCACAGGCCAAGGAACAAAGAAAGGAGTTTTGTCCTTGCTGGGACAAGTATATACACTTTACTATAACCTCAGTTTCCCATGAAACAGGCAATGAAATGTGCTGCCTATGGATCCAGTGAACTGTAATAACAAGTTTGCAAATCCACAGTCTTACTCAAGAACTGAAGCTCTTCCCATGTCAGTTCTTGGGCGTTTTTGTCTCCTGCTATTTGATATGAATGGGACAGGAATGAAAGACCCTGTCTGAATTCAAAATTATCAAACAAACGTTTCTTCAGCATTTTCACAAAAGACCAGAGAATGAACCATCTGCAGTAGCAAACAGCATTCAAAAACTTCCTCAGTTTTGGAGATGTTGTGTGTTTGAAAATAAACAAAATAACTACTCTGCTCCCCCGAACTCTCCTTCAACAAGTATTTCACCTTACTTGATTCATGACCACTGCCAACTTGACCACAGCACCAGTCAAATCCCACACAATGACCTCAGTATTTCTGAACAGGCTGAATTGTTCCAGTAACAGAGTCTAAAGACTGCAGGGTAACAGTGTCTGTGTCTGCATGTGGACAGATGGGGATTCCTGAAGCAAATCTGCTGCTGATAGAGAAAGTTTCCATTCTGACAGCAACTGGTCAGTGTTAAGAGGGTTCTTGCTCTTCCTTGCTGGAGATTTCCATCTCTTCAGCTGTGTCAGATAGTCCATACGGTCACACTAACTGATAGGCCAGAAACATCTATCAAGGGTAGGGATCAGGAGTAAGGGCAAGCTGGAATGGGAAACACTTTAAAATGATAGTCAAATAAGTAGACAATTAACATTTGTAATCAGTAAATCGGTTACCATATAACAACCCTCATCCAAATTAATACTGGACTTCACTGAATGTTGTATGAGACCATACTCTGTCACCTGCAGTTTAACTACACAGTACAATTACTTTGGCAGCAAAGTTGGATCAGAGCACTCCTGCAACTAATTCCTCTGACCTACCTCATGCCGTAAGTTGCTGCCTCGTAAGATGAACTGACGTAACTGGTTGTGCGATTGTTCAATGTACCAGGTCAGTAAAATGGTCTCATGTAAAAAAGATCAGGAGGATAATTTTAACCCACACAAGTTCAGTGACTGGTTTATTTCACAGCTTCACGAGAAGTTGCAGCACAGCTAAGGGAGTATAAACTGTGGCATAAGCAAGAACAAGCTTTCAAGATCTTCACTTTTTGAAAGTGCCATAGGCTCTAACCACACCCAGATACTTCTGTCACTGGGGATATGCACATTTTCTTGAACATGCCTAGTTTGGAAAACCCTAGATGTCAATCAAAATTATTTTCTGCATGCACTGATTACTACTGGATAACCGCCTGTGAGGAATTCATAAGTTACAAATTGCTGTATTCAACTAAACAGACTTCTTTTTGTCAACTCTTATCCAAAATACACAATCTTGTGCATTTCTATTTATTTTTTCTGACCATCACAGGCTACAGAGACCATGTGCTACACGTCATCTATAAAACAATCATATTATATTTTGAAGGATATGAACAGCAATTTTAAAATCCAAACAAATGTATGTCTAGTTCTTAAGCACCGTGACTAAGAGGCAGGGAAAATATTTTATTTCTGTATTTCACTCACCTGTGTTGTAGGGCACTGTAGGTTTATTAACACTACGGGGCTGGCACATTTCAGAATGTTAAAGTAAAATAAAATGGTCTTGTTCCTATGGAAGTGGATATAAGATAATTAATGTTATAAATATGGGTGCTTATACATCCTACCATTCAAAAATTTATAGCATACATCAAGATTTAAATTCTATTATTGTGAATGGTCATATAGCAAACACAAGACAAAAAAAACAAATCCCAAGCAGACCCTGAATGTTCTGTGCCAAGACATCTCTGAAACCAGAAGTATTTGTTCTAAAGAATGCTAATTTTAAGAAGTTTTTTGCACAGCAAGGTTTTAAGCTGAAACAACCCTAGATGCTGTTACCGGTATCTGTAGTCCTGCCTCTAAGAAGTGAGGTCTGTAAAATACCCCTGCAAAAACACTGTGGTCCCTTTGCTTACACTGAACATAGTGTGTATGTACTGCACGCAAAATTACCATCAGTAAATGCTACACTGTAAAAGCTGCCTATTTTTTGTTGATCAGAAGGTGGCACCAAAATCAATCAAAAGCTTTTTATGGTTGGAAACTGAAAGCAGCTGGCCAGGAAACAGAATTGTAATAGCATTTGCTAATAAGGTTGACAAACCTCCTTTGATATAAATAAGGGACAGTCTGAGGGGTTTGCACCCCAGAATCCACACACTTGACAGCTTCTGGAACTTGGGACCTTGAGGTAGCTGTCCCCTCAGCTTGGGTTTGTTGAAAACTTATTACCCCCAGATTTCTGGATTTAAACACCTGGGTTTTGAAGACAGCAAAATATGCTGTTAATCTTTGCTATGTCAGAAAATTACCAGACAGCTCTAGTGAAGATGGTATGGCAGTAGTCCTGCCCTTTTTACATGTGACTTCAAAGTCAGCTGGCCGTGCCAGGACTATACAGTGTCCCTATGAGAAACAATGGTGCATAGGCCCCCCTACAGCCTGTGATGTGCAAGAGAACACAGTAAGTGGTGTCTGAGCCACCACTGACCCCCACCATGGCAATGCAGCACAGAGGGAACTCTGCCTTGGGAGCAGGATGGCAGTATTGACAATGAAGCGTGCTTGGGCCAACAAGGCTGCCCCTCTCCTATCTGCGGACTTGGCACAAGTCCTGCTCCCGCATCTCTCCACTGTATCCCCCAGGGCAGGACATATCCCCTGATCCTCCACCAGCACGTGCCTCCCACCAATTGCCGAATATGGCTATGCCTTCAAAGCCATTATATAGCATCACTGCACACTCAAGCTCCCTTTAAAACTGGGATTAGCTCAACTGCCTAGCATTTTACAAGGATAAATTGTATTCACTGAGGTATGTTCTACTATGCACTGTTTAACAAAACATGCAACCTGGCAAAAACAATTCACTGTCATTAGTTGTGATTAGATTTCTTCAAATCAATAGAATAAAATTTTGGACTGAAATGTCATCGTTCTTCAATAGTTTCTTGATAGTATTTATAATCTGTGAGCTGCTCAAATCTTTTGATTAATGAAATCTTTTTTTTTCTTACGTCTTAGCCCACTTGCTGATATTGACAGCAGAAAAGAAAGTTTAAACATATATGTAACACAAGAAAACAGCTGCCAAGAACTAGGTCTGCATTCTTTATAATGAAATTGTGTTGTACTGGGTGATTATGCTGTGCTCTGTAGAAGGCAAAACGAACTTAGAGATTACATGGAGATTAATGGATGAATTACAGGGAGACACAAAGAGGCCTAAGAGAGACTTGCATGACAACACAAGGTAGAATTAATTTCACTACATGGAATTCACTGGAGTTTAAATGGGTTTTTGCATGAGCTGTGAGTGTTTGGTTTTTAGCTTCTCTCTTCTACTCCTCAGTGAGACTGCTGGGAATGCTTGTTCCAAGCATGAGATTCAAAATACAGAGACTGTGATCACTTTCCAAGTAAAAAGTCTCAGACTAAGCCCTTGGGGACTTTGGAAAACCATAGTCCTGGATTAGCCTTTCACACTGCTTACTTTCAGGGCATCTGAAAAATCTGGCAATGGTATCAATGAAGGCCTGACAAGCACACGCCACGCCCCCACTTTTAGGGACTAGAGGGGCCTCCTGGCCTACTGCCATAAACACTCTTGCTTTTCCAGTAGGTTGTATTATGTGTCTTTTGGCTTATATTTTTATAAGAAACCCCTCAATGTAGCAAATAAGTGCCAAAATGCAGTCTCAGTAGCTGTATTATTCTCCAGCAATCATATACATGGAGGGACATTTGTGAATACAAACTGGAAATCACATTCTAAGAAATAACTAAAGGGAAGACTTGAGCAACAGAAAGGAAGAGGGAATGGGAGTGGATTACAAGAATCAGAGAAAAGCATCTGGCTACACACCACACAGTGCACAGATGCTGTGTGTCTGAGACTCACAAACCCATTTGCCCACTGCTTCCTACAGACCAGAGAGGGGACAAGGACAAATTGGGGGCAAGGAAGGGGGGAGCAGAGAAGGAGTGCAGTGAGGGGAACACACACAACACTACAACTTTTTCTCCTAGTTTTTCCTCTTCAGGAAGTTGGACTCTCCAACAACTGCTGTGAAGAATCTTAGTTGGAGGGTAGAACAGCTCTTCTCACACTATCTAGTCTGTTCCCTCTGTAAAAAACACTTGAAAGGATATAAAGTCTTAGCTCTACCTCTGTCCCACTCCCTATCTCCTGCTCTTCCCCTTTGGACAGTGGCTTCCTCAGTTTTTTCCCGGAAAACTAAATGGGAAAAGAAAGAAGCAGCAAAGATCTGTTTTCAAACACTAGCTTCTGTTTTGCTTCCTGCATAGCATCCAGCTTCTTGACAGTGACAAGGGCATAAAGGTGCCTAATACTTACTTTTTAAAAAGGAGAAGAAAATTTTAAATTCTGTTTCATAAAACACTTCGATTTTCAGAGAAAACATTGATGTGACATCTTTCACAGTGATTTTCACGTAGAAGTACTCTGTTGATACCAACTAATTATTTTACCTCTCCCAATTCAAAATTTAAAAAGACTGGGAAACTGAGACAAGTCAATAGAGCCGTTTGGCTGATATACCCAAGGAAGGTATGGTTACAGTTGCCTGTCTCCCAGACCACTAAGTCTCCTCTCCACTGGCACTGGGTAAGCACCAGAAAAAAACCAAGAGCTTTTCCTTATGGTCTTTTCTGTTATTTGGTGCATGTTGAGAAAAACTGACAACCAGGCTACAATGCTTTAGGACTACTCTTATCCCAAGGTGGACAGAAGAATTACTGAATGGGTTATTAACTATCCAAACTTTGGCAGTTAGTCACTTTCTATGCAATGAGTGATGCAATCTTTAAGTTATATTGATACTTCACCAAAAATATTCTCTGAATGATGAAAATAACTGCATTATAGTAATAATTTGGGTCTAGATTTGCACTGAGCAACTAATCTATTTCTTAACTTTATTTGGAATAAATACAGTGAGTGTCGCTGTCCCTTCAACTTCCCACAAGAACCCCTAGCAGACAGAGAGATTTGAATCCTCACATCTTATTCACAGTACATGAGTAATAAAGGTATGTGAATGGATTTAGTACTCACTCATTGAGGGTATCTTTCTGACCACAGAACTGCCCATAGCTGTCAGTTGGATAAATCACTTTCCTGGGGTCACCGTGCACCCAAGCTGCAAATATACACGTATCTTTTAACATTTCAGTCAAGTGTACACAGTTAATAATTGAGACTGACTAGCATGAAAATGTATCACCTCTAATGTACCATTTTAAACATTGTTGATCACCACTGAAGAGTAGTGATTTGTAGACTTCCTAATGAAAAACTAAACTGAAGTAAGATATGGATGAATCAGTAAGAAAGCAAACCAGTTCACTTTTTACCTTCAGGGCACATATATCTGGGTTGTATCCAAAATATGATGTAATGGACTTAAAAAATAATGGTTATTAAAAGGGGAAAGAAGAGGAGCTAACTATGTAGACAAATTTGAGCATTCACAGACAACCACAATGGCATTGAAATTAATGGGATTACCTGGGTGTGCGACAGAAATACACAGGGTGTGACTGAATCTAATGGACTCCATTTGCACTAAGAATGGAAACAAACTCTTACTTTGTAAATGAAAACATTTCCTGACCTCTCACTTGGCAATTGTCCCATTTTTCAGTTTTTAGGTCTGCACCTGGCAATTTATGTATTATATGCTAGCATGAACCATAGTACTGAATGGGAAGAAAGGTTTATATTGAACTTTTAAACTGCTTTTCTCCACTTCGAAGCAGGATTTCTTCTCCAAGCCATTTTCACCTGCACCATTATTTCCCTTTGAGGATCAAGTACCAGCTATCACTATTAGTATCGTTATTTCTAAGCCGTAGTGTGCAGACCTGACTAAGCTTCCTTCATGACTAGCCAATGACTAGCCTTTGAACTGTTCTGACTACTAACTGTTGATTTGACCCTAAATAATGGAAATTTCATTTATTTTTAAGTATCGTCTGAAAGTAAGATATAATGCCAAAATATAATTCCATATCACTACCCTGAGCTGACACCCTAAAATCAGGTTGCTAGAGAACTGTTAGAAAAGACCACTGATCTTCTCCCAAACATTTCCTTGTGCTTGTATTATGTTGTCATGGTTTAATCCGGCAGGCAGCAGGGAAAGATTACAGGTATTACAAAGATTTTAGTCCCAACCTTCCCCCTCTTGCACGATATACTGAATGTCAGGAGCCCACTTAGCATACATTTTAGGCTTTGATCTATGTAAACCACCTTGAACTTGTTTCTCTGTAATTACTCCATCTTCTCTCAACTTTGTGACATTATATTTAATCACTTGTGAAACTGTCATTTTCCTCAAGGTCACTTTGGTAAGAATAACAGCGCTTAACAATAATGATATGTGCAGTAGAGACAGAACCTATATAAGATCTCAGAGCATCAGACTGCAAATTTATTGAAATGTTCAGGACAGATGCACAACATATCTTCAATGACTTGCAAATAGTTACAGAGAATCTGTAATGCTACCTTTCACCTGGAATGGTTTTAGATTACCAACATGAATCTGCTAGTTCTTTTTAACTTATGTTAGTTTTCCTGTGTTTTGGAGTTTGTAAATCAACCTGCTGCTTGGTATCAAACACTTTCTGAACATTCAGATTAACTGCATTTCAGGTTAACTGTGGTGTTCTGATGCTCAGAGAAAGCTAAAGTGCTTCACCAGTTAAGTTAAACCCCATTTACTTCTTCATTTGTTAGCCCCCACTTACTTATTTCAGTAGCATTACTTAATACAGACATTTAGGAGGCATCAACTCTCTCTTAGGAATTCCTACAGTCAGTTGATAACTCACATGTGTACATGATGTTAGAAAGCAGACAGCTCTCTCGTGACTGCAATGAGTCTGTAGGTTATGTCATGTACACTTTCTTCCATCATGACTCTGACAAGAGGGAGTTTTTCTTTCTACTTTAATATGACCTTGCTTTTCATACACTAAAAGCCTAATCCCAAATGGAATAAGCTCCTATACAGACCTGAAAGACCTTTCAGGCCTTACTTGTATGATGTTAGATGACTCTAATACATCAGTGTTTTCCCAGCCCCAAAATTAGGGTTTTTTAAATTAGTCTGGCACATTAGTAAAGGGACTCATTTTTTCCATTTGACTGTATTTTTTCTTTAACACCAGCAAAACAGGAAGTAGTAGAGAGAAGCCCCACCATGCCAGATTCAAAGTACTGACAAGGATTTTGTAGCAAGACATATCTGCTTCATACAGATAATTTGGAAGAAGTTGCTACTGCCAACAATATCCCTTTCCTAAGTGGCATATTAAACCTGGAACTATTTTTCACTCCTCAGACAAACTTGGGAGAATGGAGATAAACACTGCAACATAATGTTGGTTGGTTTTTTTTTACATATCAGTCTTATTAAGGATCTTTTCATAAGAAGGGCCCATGTGACCCAGGCGGACTTCCTTCAGCCTGTTTGGGTGGACTAACCCAGCAAACAAGAATAAAACTCAGCTCATCAAATGGGCAGAGCAGTATATTCTCCTCACATTCTTTTTAGTTCTAATGCAAAGTCTGCTGAAATATTGCAAAAGACTCCCTTGGTTGCACTGGGTTTGTATCAATACTTGGTCTCAAATTTAATCACTCGTCTTTTGCAGTGTGTTTCTCAATTATTAGTAGAAATTAGCAGAGTATAAACAATAGAACACACTGCTCACTTCTGAATAGAATTTCTGTTCAGACTGTACCTGCTTTGCCATTATCGAATTGTCTAAAACTACTCCTGCTTGGCAGGAGTCATCCTGTGTGCCTAAGGCTTCAGTCATGTTTTTAATAAAACAGTATTAAAAAGAATCTGCTTTTAAAAAATAGATTTAGCACACTTTGTGGAATTCCATCACTGGGATCAGCTGCTGGGCGGATGGAGGAAGATGCCTCTCAGCTAAACTCCAAACTGAAAAAAACATAATTGGATCTGATTTACAACATATACATTTAGCATTTAATTAACTCTGCAGTAGAAAGAGAAGGGAAATGACCAACAGAAGAGAAAATACGCAGATTCTTTCATTGTCTGTGCCGGGGCTAACCATCAAGATTAATAAACTTAATCCTCTGTCACCTTCTTTGCAAACTTAGAGCAATGACAGTGAAAGAATCCATGTGATACACACACAATTTTTCTGGACTAGTCAGTGAAGAGTAAGTACCTAATTCAACAGTTCTCACTGAGTGAAGAAGGTTATTGTAAGAACTAGCCTGACAGAGCAGCACCATATTTTGCATGTTGTGCTGCACTATTGGTGACTCACTATCAAGCACTAAATGAAAAGGAATCCAGTCACATAAAATTTTTATTCCAGCATGCTCTGATGCTCATAAGGGTGCAGTCTGAGTGCTGGCACAAACATCTGGGCTAAAAAAGAAAATTAAAGAACAGCTGAACCATAATACACAGTTAACTCAGCCCTCAGAGCAGCAATGTGACATCCTACATCCTAGCATTTTCGGGAGGCCTGCAGTTATGTCAGTCCTTTTATTGATGTGGAGCCAACACACATGGATGGTATCAAAAATAGCTAATGTCTGTCACTAAATGTCTGTCAGATGCACTTCTTTTTTTCCGTGCTCTATGGGCTACACCAGTAGTTGTAAAGGCTGGAAAGCTCCCTGTCCATGAGAAAATGTGATTAGAACAGTGGCATCCTGTGATACTTAAAATTGAACTGCAAATCTGTTTATACTATCTGTCTCATTCTCTCTACTGTGTATGTTTGAAAGGACAGTCTTTCATATCATTATTTTGCTTCCCTTAAAGGTATCTTTTTAATGTTTTAATGTATGTTTTAATGTTTTAACTGACCTGCCAAATTTTTCTTATGGCTTTTTAACACAAGCAATTTACTAATGTAAATAGGTAATAGACCGCATCATACAGAATTTGTAAATCCATGTCGATAACACTGGTATTGTACAAGCATCCCTTGGAGCAATACAACAAGAGTTATTACTTTGAATTAACCTGTCCTTTGGAATGTGAGGCTCTTTTCCAAGATAACTTATTTGCTGCCTTCTATGTGCACTTTTCTGAATTAAAATAACCTTAAATTACGAGGTTAAACATTTCTAAAGTATTTCCCAGATAAGCCCAGTGTCTCTGAAATAAACATGAAGAGTTAAGTCAGTTTGATCGGAAGGAAAACTACACGAAATGTTAAATTAGCACTATTAGTTCATCTGTAAAGTTGAAAGAATGATAAGAAAGTAAATCATAGAATAACTATTTCTATTCAGTACAGTCACTCAACAGCAGCCATCACTGAAGCAGAACTAAGAAAGGCTAATATCAAAAATCATTTGGTTTCATCTTTCAAGGAGAATTGATTACCTTTTACTGAGACTACATTTCAGCCCCCCTGAAACAAAAAAATTCTATACCACTGTTACACAGACACACATATAGGTGAAGCCTATGTGAGCTATACATACAATACTGAGGGCAAAATTTGACTCAGATTTTCAGTAATAGCAGTTGTGTCATGAACCTGCATTTATTGCTTACTTCTGGAGCCAAATTAAACAGGGATTCAGAGCCATATTCACACATATTCAAGAAATTGCGGAAATCTACTTTTTTTTTCCGTATAATAAGGCATAATTCATGACTAAGGATTGATTTATAATCTGCTTTCTCTTCATGTGAACTTCTTTGACTCTCATGTATTTTGTACAGGGCTGGCTCCTGGAACTGTACCAAAGCTGATCTCATCTTTTACTTAGAAATAAACTAGAGTAAAAAGAATAGCTGAAGCACAGTACAAGGAAAGATGAAAAGCAGGGACCACGTGGATCTGGATTTGGAGCTGAACTAAATGTTTCTAGATTGAAAATTCAAGTCTTCTCTGTAAAAATGGTAGAAAAAGTCACCAGCTACAAATTCAGTATCTGGTTCCAGGAATAGGTTCTAGTTCTAACCAGTATTTCATAAGGTTTGCAAGAGAAGGCTGTTCAGACACCTTGTGTCCAGTAGGAAACCACTGCATGTGCGGAGCAGGGAATATGACCAATTCACTGTCTCACATCACAGTAACTACATTGTCTGAGATTACAGACATGAAGAATCGAGGAACTGGACAGTCCTCTTCTGCTGCTATCTACTTCTGCAACATCTAGCATATGGGGTACTTTGGAAATGGCACATACAAAGTTGACATAAAGTTCTAGCCAAAAAAATAAGGAGATTTAGATAGTGCTGGAAAGAGAGCCAAGATCTGGCAGCACAAGAATACTGTACAGCTAGAAACTGCCAATGCTCTCCTTTCCCTTTGTGCAGGTAGCAGCACTTCAGAATACTGCCTGTCTGCACAGGGGCAGGTCACCAGTCACCAGAGCATTTGTATGCTCAAGAAAACAACAAACATTCCTCTGATCTGACTCCAGCTTCTTCAGTTCTGGCTTTACATTTGAGCAGTGACAGAAGGAGAGAGCAGAACATGAATGAAGAATCAATCAGGTAGGAAGAGGAGGACAACAGCGCAGACATTAGAAGGATGTCCTTCAGACACGGCATACTCCCAGCACCAAGTGGGAGGCATGGCAGGTCTGCAACAGCTGTGCACAGTCCAGCAGCTGCTGTTCCTTCTTAGGACTAATAATTTACCTCCTTTTCTTCAGTCTATTCCAGAGCAGGTTTAGAAAGCAGAGATATATATTGCATGTATATCCTGGTAAGTCCCTCTCCAATCTCCTATAACTGGGAGTCGCGTGACTATTTCTGCTCCAAATACTTCCACAAGTCAAATAAACATTAGAGTCGATTTGGATTTAAACAAAGTGGGAACAATTCAATTAGGCCATGAGGGCAAGAAGGTGCTTCATTCCATAGCAAAGGAAAGGGCCCACAGGATCCACAGTAGCCAGAACTGTGATGAGAGAGTACCTGCACGATTTTGCATACACAGAATCCAGTAGTGGCTACAAAACAAAGAGATCCTGGAGTTGTCTCCACACAGATGCCACTGATGTTAACTTAAGCATCACAATCACGGACACCGACCTTGTGAAAAAATTGTCAAAAAGGACTGCATTTCAAGTCAGTCTGAAGCTGACTGTACAATCATGCCATGCAGTACAGTTAGGGACTCTCTTCCTGGATCCAATCCCAAAGAGAATCCTGCTGTAATCTCTAGAAGTATGGCATAAAATCAAGTACAACTTGAACAGCTTCTGAATTCACTTTTTGCTCTGCCCACTTTTCTTACATTCATAGATCTTAAGTTATCATTCATTTTTGGGAAACAAAGGCTCAAAGAGATTAGATAAGAAAAAAACAGAGAGCTTTGAAAAGAAATAATTTCTTCCACCTGCAAGCATCATCAGCCATCTGTTACCCTGCTGTTCACTTCCTAGTGCGGGCTTCGCACTTCCTTGCAAAGGTCCTCCATGCCTCTCTCACTTGCTGGTATATACCATTTGCCTCCTCACTTCTCCGTCTTCCTGAAGACATAAAGGTTCATGACGGGGCAGTAAGTGCAGGTGAATAAGGGAAAGAAAAAATACACACAGAGAATTCCCAGTGCTTGAGAGAGAGAACAGACTTTTCGGAACGTGTTCAGTGCTCAGCTGCTACAGGCAAGGTGAGAGGAGACAGCTCAGCATTGTGGCTTGGAGGACGTTATGCTACTGTACAATTTAGTGGGAGGATCGAGTATTCTCTCAGACAGTTGTCGGAATCACCTAGGTTAAAGCATCTTGCTTACAGTCACCTTTTCATGCTACAGACAGCAGCTTTTCACAGAACGGTCGGGGCTGGAAAGGACCTCTGGAGGTCAGCTTGTTCAAAACCCCTACTCAGGCAGGGTCACCTGGAACGGGTTGCCCAGGACTACATCCAGACAGTTTTTGAGCATCCCCAAGGATGCAGATTGCGCCACCTTTCCTCTCTACAGAAAATGGTAGTACAGAATTATGAAGAAAACTAATGGCTTTTCTTCTATGTACGGCAGGGCCAAAACAATCTTTTACAAGCAAATTGCAAGAGCTCAGACAGACATGCAGATACACAGTAAGTACACTTTAACAGCATCATTTGTCCTTTCACACACAGGCATTCATACAATTCTCTCACACAAACAAAATAAAATGGCTATTATTAATGAATATACTGATATGCGAACAACTCTGGATACCACAATACATGAAGTAATTTCTCTTACTTGTCCTTTCACTGCACACATAGGTTCTTTCAGTAATATTTTACAGAACAAAAAGCCTCTGAAAACCAAAGTGTTTATCTCTAAATTTTGCTGTCAGATTAATGACAAATGAAAGTGAATTTTTCCACCACAGTTACTTTATGATAGCAAAATTATCAAACCATGTCGTTTTTACTTGAACACACTTAATTTTGAGTTTTTCATCAGTAAACACATGGTTTTGAACTTCTCCCTAATTACAATAGACACTGAATGTTAATTCATTATTTGCTTCTAGGCAAGGCATTGCTTATTGATTGGAAAGCTTTACATAGATATAAGCAAAAGGGACATCTCAGTTAAAAATTCTAACATTTACAGAGTTGCTTCCCCTGTCTATGAGAAAGCACTACTATACCTGAGTTTACTTACCCACAATTCCTAATGCAATGTAACCCAGAATGACGACTATGAAGATCACACAGCAAATAATGTCTGTACAGTGCCTAGGGACAGAAAGAAATACTTTTTAAAAATAAGGTGTCTAATATGACCCTTTGAAAACACCAAGTGTCATAGGGTATTTTAACATCTGAATAAGATGTCTGCATCTGCAGACATTAGTAGAAGTCTTACTCACAAAATCACGTTTGAGGTGTAAGGCCCTGCTTCTGCAGCAAGACCAGCAAATAAATGTGTATGCCTTTTGTATTGTAGACAGCAATAAAAACAAATTGAGGAACAGGTTTAAATATTCTTAAAACAAATAATAATACCTTACAACATTGAATCCATGAGATCACTTATGGTATAAGCTACTACAGGACATCTGCCTCAGCATGTCCCTAAAGCTGGTATCAAATATTGCAAACAACGTGATGAAAGATTCAGCACAACTTACCTGTATTATAAATAGCTTATGAATGGAGAAATAACAGCATGAAATGAAAAAAGCCTATATGCAACTACCTCTGATCTCTGCACAAAATTCTGACTCAGCTGCTTGGCCTCATTTAATGCAACCAAAACGTGCTCTACCGAGAGGACAAAAAAACCTTAACATATTGTGGAGAGCCATACCTTCTTTTACAGACAAGCAATCAAAGAACAGCACTCTCCAGTTTGAAAATGGACCCAGTGAGTAAACTGTGAGTATTCAATTAAATTACTGTCTTCTACTTATTGGTCTGCATATCAAGTTCATGCAGGCAGAGGAGTGGAGATGTGGACCACTTGACTAATTTTTCTTCAGTGTCTGACCTTGATCAGAGAAGTTCCAGGAGTGTAATTAACATAATGAAGTATGACACTCCCAAGCGAGCAGGAGAAGGTCAGTACGCACTTGTGGAGACCATCGACTCCGAGGGCTCCCGACTCCGAGGGCTCCGGCTGGGGTGAGCAGTTCTCTCCTTCACAAGCCAACTTCACAAGCCCTTGTTTCTAAAGACCCGTGGAAGCAAAATAGTTACCATCTCACCGGCCCTTGCAGGCCTCACTGGTTAAGAAACATTTGCAGCTAACAGTCTCGCCAGGATTTAATTTACAAAGGAGTGAATTACTCCTTTAAAAGGGTGTGCTGCCTAGAGCCTCCTTATCTGAAGGATTTCAATCACTGTTGTTCTTTACCGTGTCCTGCTTATCTGACAGTTTTGGTGAAAAACAGGTTGTATAACCTGAGGGTGTATGAACTGCAACCACCCCATTTGGGCAGGGCTCATGTCCGCAGAGCTGTCAGTGCTGCTCCGGGCTGTCCCCACAGCTGTAGTAACAAACTGCTACTGTTCTGACCCGATCCAAATCCCGTTCCGCTTTTCCATGACAGATGAGTGAGCAATCATCACCCTGGGAAAGCTAACGTGTGCTTCAAGTTAAAGTAAAGGACTGCCTTCATAAAACGAGTGATGTTCACCTCTGCTTGCAAGTCCATGCAAGGAGCCAAGTGGATGCAAGCTGAATCTCACCAGAAATCTTAGAATCCAAACTCCAGCGGAGACACAGTCATTTTTAGCATCTACCATTCTTTCCGTTTTCAATCCATGTTTCCTCTTACAGAGAACCGTTATTCTTTAGCATGAAGGAGATAAAGATGGCAGATCTTTTAAACAGTTGGAGAACTTGAAAAGTGTTTCCAGGTGTGGAAAAGGAATGATAAATCCTGTACAATTCTCTAGAGAGAGAGAGAGTTTTAACATCTCACTGAAATAAATTTTTAGTGAGGTGCAGGATTCAAGGTCAGTATGACAGTAATCTAAGAAAGGACAACAGCTTGAAGTAGAAGCAGCGATGCTAAAACAACGCTGCTCATTTTCCCAGCCTCCGTTCAGCAGCAGTTCTGACACTGCTCAGGCTGGGCTCTCACTCCATCAGAGCCATTCTTACGAGGTACAATATTTAATTCGAGACGTCTCAGGAGAAATATGGCACCATAAATACTTTAACTACAACTCTTATAGTCTCAAAAACCTCTTCCAGTCCAATTCTCACAGGCCTGATTTTATGATACCTAAATGCAGTTAAAGGTTACACCCATGTGTGCTAAAGCTTCCTTTTAAAGTTTGGCAGAGCCACCATGAAAAAGTACCCATAAACACTTTACCAGAATGCAGGATTTTCTGTTCTTTTTAATACACAAACTTCTGTACAGTACCTAGTAAAACTCACTGTTGCCAAGTATTGCTGTTATATAAATGTTTAAAAAATATGTAAGAAGTACATAAATCCTCTTTTGGGTGGCTTCTGAAAATTTTGAAACAGTTCATACAGACTAATTGTTGTTCATACAAAATAATTGCTTATTTTACTAGATACTATGGGTGAAACCCTGGCTCCATTTAGCTCATTAACATCATTGTTAGCTCATCAACATCATTGTAGCTCACTGTCAGTGAGGTCGTAATATTACCTCATAAATACAAGGTTCCACAGGAGAAGAAAAAAAACTGTAAAACATCTTAAATGAATAAATTAAAATAATTCTGTAAAGATACAAGGTTATACTGTGAAGATTCTGGGAGTTTCCAAAGTTGCAGGAGCTAGAACGATGGGAATTGCCTCTTGCTAAACAGGAGATATTGGAAGCCCATGCTTATTACTGAAACCTAATCAGAAATTATCCAGCCATGCTTTGACTGAAAACAGATTTAGTATGAATTTTTTTAAACTAAGAAGGCAATCTGTTACGGCAAATCTGCTTTTTTAGTTTGTTTCAGACTAATGAGGCAGAGCAAAATCACTCAGGAGACTGAACTGTTAAACTGAACCCTAAGGAAGATGGATTAATGGAAATATGATTATGAGAATAGGAACTGAGAACACTGCTTATCATACAGGCTCTATAATCTTTCTTACAGATATCGCTATCATACTTTTATATAACAACTATATGTAAACATTGAAAGATTAATGAGAAAAATTTCTTTCTTCTTCTTCACATTTCTTATCGTATAGATGACGAAAACATTAAAAATGCTTTTGCTAATAGCCAGTATTGTAAATTCTGATAGTTTTTGGTACTTTTTAGACAAGCAAGTTCCATAATCTGAACCAAAAAACAGTGAGTCTATGTATTTGAACACAGGAGTTTCCATAGAGATAAATTGCTGATAAATCCATCAGATTCATCATTTTCAGGTGACGTAATAAAAGACCTTCATTTTGTTAAGTGCACAGTTCAGGCTCCCACATCACATTTTACTGCTTACTGCTGTCATTTAGCTTAATTTATGGAGCCTGATTTGCTTTCCACTGTCTCTCAGAAACATAGTGGCTTCTTGGCTTCTCATGCTGTGTCACACGTGGCAGTGCATGCAAACAATACTTTGTGCATGTGTAATGGCATCCTAGTGAATAAATGAATGCAAAGATAAAATCATCCGCACAGAGTATTAGTGCATAAAAGCCATTTATTCACTGACAGTTCATGCACTTAATCATTAATGACTGACTAGAATCTCTCTCTGTTTGGCAGTTTCATGCCCAATCTGTCACAAGTGCAATTTCACTCAAGATGCTGCACTAGCAAGAAACTACGATGTTTATTAGTTAAACAGCACTAGCAGTATATTAGCACCTACAAATAGTCTTGAGCCCAGCACTGTGCAACCACAGAGCAAAACAAGGCTCAAGATGTTCACAGCATGAGTTTCAGGTTACCACTTTCAACTCTGCTGACACATGAAGGTGACCACTAATGTCCTCACTTGAGAGTTCCTCCTCCCTGCTTGACTAACAGTTTGTGTTTTGAGACTTCCCTAAATCATGTTGTGTCAAGGTGATGTTATACTATGCCATACAATGCCATGAATAGCTCTGAAGACCCCTTTCTTCACTGGGGCTGAACTGAGAAGCAAGATCTGCTGTACAAATGGGTATTTCTATCAGCATAGTGACATTGAGGACATCATCCTGCACAGCTGAATAAATGCGCAAGGTGCCCATAAACTAAATGTTTGCAGAGAAAGTTCCTTTCAAAATCCCCCATGAATTGCCACTTCTACTGTGGAGGCCAAAACTGCACAGAAGAAGATATTTATACAAGTTTTCACCACAAGCTGTTTTCCATCAACTCAAATTCTGCATTTTCTTAATGAGTATGACTGATCTGCACTGACCTGCATGGATTTACTAAGTTGATATGTCTTAGTTACAGGCACCATGCTTAAGGAAGTATTGTTTAGTTCTGGAAAACTCAAATTTCGATATCTGCAAATGAACAACATCTGTAGACAGTGTCCCAAACCAGAAACATGAAACAAGAACTCAAAGAAAAATGTAGGCTTCCCCACTCATATTAACGAGTGCATGGCACGTTATGTTGATATAGACAACAACATGTAATAAAACATATATGGACCAATAAAATATCAGTAGCAAGAAAAAGAATTTTATATTCTACCAACATTTATCTATGGTAGACTCTCAGTGTAGTCTAAGTAACATCTTTAGTAGGCTATTTATTTTAAAAAGCACAAAGGATAATTTAAATGTCAAAATTGTTTATTATTTCAATATCGACCACAGTATCAAATGATGTGCCACGTAGATATCTATGAGTGACACATTTATATTTGTGAGAAGGTGAAGTTTGTATTGCTAGTTAAGGTCAGGAATTTTTATTAGGTTTTTTCAAACTCTTAAAGAAGATAGCTAAATAGTTATGGAAATTTACTGATATTCAATTTGCATGAGAACCCATTAACGACATTTTCTAAACACAGAGGAAAAGGTGATCTTTGTCTTAACAAGAACACTAAATTTCTAGAAAGATGTTGAACAATTAGAGATAGTCCAGGAAGTGGCAGGAGTTTTTTTTTAAAACATAACAAGAAAATAAATTTACAATGTGTCTAACCAGCAAGAGGAATATGAGAAAAACCCAAGAAACTACATAGAGGAGGGAGAAAAATAACAAGGGGCAAGGGAAAAAAAAAACCCCGCGAAATTGAGGATAAGTCAGAAGCGTGATTTACTAATTTGATATTCTGCCAAAGCAGTTTAGAAAAATATGCTATGGTTGTATTGACTGTATAAATTCCCTTACTGGAATTTAGAGAAAATCTAAATGGAGGAAGACAGTTCATTTTATACCCAAAGTAGTATAATTGCATTAAGGAAAAGGAGAAGCTTGTTTTCCCACCTGTATGATGGTACCTGACTGATTTATCCACAAACATATTTAAGATATCTTATGATTAAATTGGTGGAAGAAATGCTTTTTTATTCTTAAAGAAGTGTAACACATTCTATCTAAATTCCTTATGAATCCTTAACTTCACAAGCCTTCCCCACAACATTCCCCCCTTCATCTGGCATTGGCATGAAATACTGAGGCCATTCAACAGAGCCCCCCTCTCACGTGACAAATCTGCCTGAAGTCCAGCATGAGAGACCATTTCAATGCCAATGGGGGAGAGAGACAGACAGACAACAGCTTTAGGGTTGTGACACTAGACAAGTGTTCGTACATTCAGAAACTGAGAGGTGCCCAACATAGTTCCTAGGGGTGAACCTCTGGAGGCAGGGAAAGATGGCTTGGAGGAAATTTCTGCCTTTGAGGAATCAGAGATAGCTTAGACTTAAAATACGACGCACTAGATTTTGTCTCATATGAATTCAGCCAAACTGACCATCAGATCTGGTGGGAGGAAGGAAGGTATGTATCTCCAGCTCAGATTGACAGGAACACCAGGAGTTTCTATTTTCCTCTAGAAAGTTATCTACCAAAACTCCTGCTACATCATTTTGAGCGGAGAAATTGCAGAGCTACTGCTTCAGCCTGTAAGCTTACTCACTTGGTGGATACGATATATAAAACCTTACAAGTATTTTCTGGTAGTAATGCACATAGATGAACACTTAATAACATCCCTAAACTATCACTTAAATTCATTCCTATACACAGTGCATACAAAGTCTCACTGGCAGTATTATAAAGATACTTGGCAAATTAGGATCAACTCCATAAACAAGTATTTCCGTTTCTTTCTAAAATTATTAGCTTTCAGAAAAGAAAAGAAGAAATACATCTTGCTTAGACGAGAACAGTGTGTGTGTTCCAGTGAGAGTACCACAAGGCTGCAGTGTTCTTTTCTGTCATAAATTTTCTGCTGAGAAAGATAAAATTGATAAATAACTTGTGGTTCTCTAATTTATTCTTCTCACTAAGGACAGTATGCTAGTTTAGAACTTATTCTCTATGTTACACTTACATCCGGAAAAACACTGAGATGAATTGCCCATGATTTCTTAGATGCTTTCTGAGCATTTCACTCTACTTGTAAACTACTGAACCTTCTAAGAGGTAAACAGACATGCTTCCATCTGCAGCACTGACTATTAAGTGAAGTGAAGTCAAGCCAGGTTATTCTGGCAGGAGGCTTTGTAACAAAGAAGTATGTTTCAGAACTACTTTTAGATTAGATACAATCCACTTTTTCAATGCATATTCCCACTGTACAGTAATGTTTCTGTGGAGAACAGAGGCAGACAGTCTTGAATGGTGCAGAATGAGAATGGAAAAAACTGAAAGGGCTGCAGTATGTAGTCATACCAAAAAAAAGACATCATCTTGATAACATCATTTTGGATTTTCATGAGTTGGCTGGTTCAGAGTCAATCAACACAGCCATTGCATTTTAATCCTTTTTAAAAAAAGATGTTTGCATGAAATATACCAAACTCCACACACAACCTCCTTGAGAATGATGGTACTAGCAAAGCACTATACACATTGCCTTGTTGAACACTCCTTAAAAAAACCAACAGAAGAGTTCAGATAACTGAATCTCCTTGCAAAGGATCCATCTGACAAAAAATGTGGGAGTAATCCATTCTTTAACAGACGTTAATACACCATTATTGAGACTTGGCTTTCTGTTTCTCAGTTTTTCAGGCTTTTAGTGGTTTGGGGGATAGCTTGGTGTTCAACAACTTCAAAACATCATTTGTACTCTACAGCACCTCCAAAAATGCATCAGCTTCAGCAGTCACGATGATGGGATGTGACATTTTCCATCTGTCTCTGCACGTTTCAATGCAGATATGTACAATATGCAGCCTATCTCCCTAGAAACCCATCCTCTCCATTCTTCAAAAATGAAGACAAACTTTTTCCCTCACCAATGAAAACTGATAATGAAATCAAGAGCAGGACACATTATTTTATCAGCAGAAAGCAAAGATAAGTGTTTCCCCACCCACACTGTACACAAAGTTGTGCCAGTTGTATGGCAAGGTGTACAAACAGCTCTGTCCGCACCCACATATTCATTACCAGCACTCATTTGTCTGGACAAAAATGTATGCTTTCAGCTTTCTAGTATCTCTTCTCCTACAGAAAAGTAGGAAGCCCCAAAGTCAGAAACAAATTCAGGGAAGATGCCCATTTTCCTCCTATTGAACTCTTTGGAATATCTTCTGAGAAGGCATTTTGTTCATAGGAACTAGATAGTCTTTATTTGCTTGAAAGACCGTGGTTTCTTAATCATTTAATCTTAGTAATTGGAAAAATGAATTTTAAAAAAAAACAGTTTGTTCATTGTCTTTAAATAAATTTAATAATAATCTTAAACTACTTCAAGGGCATGTCTGTAGTGTACTGCACAGTGCTGCGCTGATGACCCCAAAAGGTCAGGCAAGCCATTTGGGTATCTTGCAGAAATGGTAGGTTGCATCTAAATCCAAGTGCACCTCATTGCAAAGTATGCTCAATAAGCATCAATGCAGCTATCACTGCCTTATGGTCTACTGTACAAAGAAGCCATGCTCTTAATGTTTAGGGAACTGACCTTTTTTATACTGTTTCCAACAATACCATCTCACAAAGCATTATAAAATGCATTGAACGTATGTGGTATAGTAGTGTTGCATTGTATTCATTTGGTTGTGTCCTTAAGAAGCTGCTGTGGAATGTACAATTAGAATAGCACATATATATACATGGAATTGCAGAAGCTGTCACAGCAACTACATAGATGTAACAACAAGCCACAGTGCAAAACCAGTTTTTACTAACTGTATCATGCAGTAACAGTAAAAACAAGAGAAGTCCTTCTGGCATACCACCACCAGAGTTTCACCACTTCTGCACATGAGGGAAAGGCACAGTTACAGACTGCTCAAAAATACCATTAAATTGCAGTCTTTTAGGATCCAACTCTGCAGTCCACAACACCGTAGGTAGTCTCACTCACTTCAGACACACTCTTCACGCATGTAAAAACTGTTCACTCAAGTAAGGGTTTCAGGGTTGAGTCACTCCAGCAGCCAGCCACATCACTGACAGTACTTTATTGCCGTCACTGTTCAAGCACTACCTATGTTCTGCCAGGGATTTACCCTGTTGGCCAGCCACAGTACAAATGTAGTGGTGCACACCCAGGCCATACTCTGGGGAGAATTAAGTAAATCCCTTGATGAGGTGACTACGGGAGCAGGAAAACCAGCTGCGAACTGAAGAATAGTGTGCCAGGGTTCAGTCCTGTGCTGTATGGAAACAAGACAGACTGCATCACATAGCTGTGGCATCCCAGAACATAACACCACCTCAAATGGTCCTGCTTACATCAGCACAAGGTAAGACAGCAGGTACTAGACGATATAAGGCATACAGAATTGGCATTCAAATTGACAAAACTTAAGAGCACACAGTTAAGTATTCCCCAGTAACCATGTATCTTCAAGGGTGGTAAGGATTGTCTTCTGGATTTAAAAGAATTGCAGAATCAAATTCACAAGTTTTGTTAACAAAATTTTTTATCCCCTGTTCACTGCAAAACCAAAAGAATTAAACAGAATGAGTTAAGATATTTACCTGTTATGAATAGGTCCTCTGAACTTTGGGTCAAATTTCCTTGGTTCACCTGCATTTAAAATAAAACAGTATAAAAATATGTCCTTATTTAAAAGAAAGTCTATGGAGAGGGGGTGTTAACAGCAATCTTTGAAGAACATCTTCCATCTATTCCTATTTAATCAGTTCTGTTAAAATCATTTCATGCAGGCAATATCAGTAATTCACCAATACAATTACCTAGTTTTTGTAGATGAGATCAAAGCTTTTTTCTTCTAGCTTAAAACTTCGAGGGCCTCACATTTACTACACGATAAATTACCTTTAATGTACATCCTATCACTACACCTATGCACAGTGTTCACAGTAGAAAGTGGCCGATATTTGAGAGACAAGGATTACGTCTCACAGACATATGCTAAGTGTGTTTGACAGCAAGTGAGTGAACCTGCCTCTCTGGAGCTACAGGCTAAGCCCTTCGGATTTTTCTCTAAAAGAACAGTTTGGAGCCATGTCTATACTTAATGTTATACTTACAGTCTTGCAGAGTTATTCTTACTTCTGACTGCTTTGGTTAAAGGACTTTATAGACATAGAGTTGCAGGTTTACCCTTTTTGCATTGGGCTTATCAGATGACAAAGCATGGCTGGAGACTGCAGAAATTCAGTGCTGACCTTGCTCTACGCTACCCTGCACCATCAGTGTAACTGCACTAGCTTCTCCAAAGCCGGAGATGAGGTACAGCACCGCCAAGCAGGCAAAAGAGCACGTGTTTCAAATATCTTCTCTAACTCTCAAGTGGATGCACCCACCACATATCCCAGTGTAGGAAGCAGAGCAGCTTTTAAAGTTGATGTTGGTTATGCATACATCCCTGAACATGGTTGTTGCTTTTTATGAATCTCAGAACGACTAGAAGGTCAAGTCAGGTCCCTCCTAGAAACAGGCAGTACCATCTGGCCAGAGCTTACAGATGGAAGGAGTCAAACGTGATATGTTTTTTTCCTATGGTTATCCTGGTTAGCATAGTTCCAGTTGATTCACTCTACACATAAGCAAACTATATTAAGAAACTGCCAAATACTAACCCACCAATCTGTGCTTCAAATGTGGACTTGAGTAAGATGAATTACTGTATGATTTCACTTGGGAA